ACGGAGGAGATGGATTGTTTAAGTTTAGAGTTTGGAGTTAGAGATATTAATATTTGTTTACTTGTATTTGAATATTAGCCTAGGTTTGGTTTGGGAAGTCCGGGGGGTGGGGGGATGGGATATAACATTGTGTAATATCTGTGATGTATTTCTTTTTTTTTATGATGAAAACAATAAAAATTTTATATTGAAAAAAAAAGAAAAGAAAGAAGCAATCCATCTTCTCTTGCCCTTTTTAAAATTTGATTTGCTCTCATGCACTTGATGGTCTTCTAACTATTGTTATCTCCCAATCTTGCAGGATGCCCCTTTTCATCCATCTCTCAGGCATTAGAAAAGCACACAACTCCTCTGAAGTAAGGCAGGCAGCTACGAGTAGTGAAGCAAGGAGACCTTCTTCTTCCCACCAAAACCAGCAATAAGCCACCATCTTTGCCCCAAACCAGCATGTGGCTGTTCTGCTCTCTGAATGGCAGGAGAGGCCCTTTGGAGGCCCTCGGGTGTCTGCCAGCATTCAGATTTGGAACCTGTTGTCAGACCCTAAAGACCAAGCAAGACACACTGAGATTCTTCGAAGCAGTTTGTTCCATTGTTCCTCACCTCTAGACAGAGAACTTGCCCAACTGAAACAGACTGTTTGCACCGCTAAACATACTCTGAGAACTGTTGGGGAGGAGCCATCTTAGCTCTCTTTCTCCCACACAGACTATCTAAGCGTTGTTCTCTCTTGGTCTCCTGGAATGCCTCCTTCCCTCCCTGTTGGGAATGAGGAGCCGCATTCCACCACCCTAGCAGGCCCCAGGGGGGGGAATGGAGCAGTTGGAGTCAACAGAAGAGGCCTCTCCAGAGCAACGTCTCAGAGCATCCGAGATGCCACATTCGGAAGGAAGGTGGCCTGGGGCGGGTCAGTGGAGGACCCGTCATCTGATGACCCAGAAACATCTTGACATTGGAGAGTGGCAGCATCTGTCTCTGGGCCAGGAGGTGGAGAGAGAGGAGGAGGAGGGGTGCAAGGCCAGATTCCACTAGAAATCAAAAATGCTGTGACCTTCGTTCACAAGACACATCCTTCAAGCACCATCCCTATCTCCAGCACAGAGAGCCTGAAGCCCTTGCAGGATCCCCTAATCTGCTCAAGATCGAGGATCAAGTAAGCAGGAGGGGAAGGGAGAGAACTGCAGGGAAAAAAATCTCTCCTCCTCCTCCCAATTCCCCACTTCCAGGTGGAAAAGCTGGAACTCCCAACTCCCCACTTCCAGAGTGGTGGAAAGAGCGGTGGAGGCTTCAGGCTGCGCTCAGCTGACCAGGCAACCCACCTCAGTCAACATTTTAAAGATCTGCTTCACACCTGCCTGGCAGCTGTCCTGTGAGGACAATCATCTGGCTGTATTTTGGTCTGTTCATCACCAAAGAGACTAAAAATAGAGGCAGTTGGAGAACAGAGGCTCATCAGCACCTCCCCATCAATCACAGTGGCAGCCTCTGAAATTAGCTCTTCCCCACTGACAGCACATCGCTTCAAAGGGGGTGTGTGTGTGCACTTGTCTTGCTTGGTGCCTAGAATGTGGATTCTCTCCAGATTTTCTAAAGACTGCTGAAAGCAGAATCTGTGTTTTTATTGTTAAATTAATTGCTGGGTTTCTAGCTCAAAGGGCCTGGAGGTGCCATTTATAGATATGTATAAACGTTTGGAGTATGGCAAAAAAAAAAGGGGGAGCATTTGGCTCCAGACTTATTTTTCATTTCCTCCTAAACTTTCAAGATTCTGAATGTTTAATTTTCCTTTTTGATAAGTTTTGCAATTGTGCACTTTCCAATTCAGCTTGAAGAGTCCTCTTTCGTTGCTCCCACGAATGGGTTGCCAAGAGCACTCCTGGATCAAACCATCCATTGCACCATCATGGCTCCATCTCAGATTTTTTGGGCCATATTCTGCAGTCCCCTCCCCAGCATGGCAGGTGGGTTCCACAGGAAATGGAGGAGGGGGCAGGAAAATGGCCCCTGAGCAGAGAGGATCCATTTGGCATGAAAAGTGGACTCTGGCTTTCAGCCTGGTGCATACTCAAAACAGTATTTTAAAAACCAAACCAGAATACAGAAAATATATCTGGGGAAGCCAAGCTGTGAATGGGCTAAAGGGGCTGGGGGCAAAAAAAAACATGGTGCCCATGGCCATATGATCAAAGCCTCCCCCCCATCTTTTACACATCAGGGCTACCCTCCCTCTGCAGACATCCCTGTAAATTAAGAAAAAATTTCCATGGGAGTGCTGAGATTCACCAGGTGTCCTGATTCCAGACAGGCCTTGATTCTGTTCTCCAGGCTTAGTTTTTCCTCTTTTTTTTGCAGATGGATTTGGGCTAACCCCCCTCCCCCTCACACACACACATATGCATACACACACAGAGGGAGAAAGACAGTTTGAGGCACTTGAATGGAATTAAGGACACCAGCTGCAAAAGCTGTTCAAGGACTGAACATTCAAGTCTGTAGTGAACTTTCCTCCTGTTCAAATCAAACCACAAAAAATGTGCAATTTTGATTTTTCTTTTTTAGGTCTGCAAATGAAGCCAACTGGCTTTACCCACGTACATTCTGCCTTTAGGTCATGTAAATCACATGCCCACCTTCCCTCCTCCAGGGAGCGTGCCCCCAAAGCACCCCCTGAGCATTCCCAGCGGGGAGTGGACTCATGGTCTCAACCACAACCCCAGGCTGGCTCTTTTGGTGTTGCCCCTCAACTGTCCCCTCCATCCTTCCGGCCAGCTCTGCTGAGTTTACTCACGTCGGAGGCAGGACCCTTGTCGGCCCCTGGGCAGGAGAAGGTAACAAACTCGTGGCACCTCTTGTGGACAACGAAGCAACAAACTGCAACGAGAAAAGTGAGGATGCAGGTTAATCGGGGGGCTCGTGGAAAAGGGAGAAGCGGTCTTCAGTCTGGCCTAGGGATAATCCTTGGGGTACCCCATGTTATCCCTACTAGGTTGCTTACTACATTTTCTGCACCCCACATCCTGATTTTGCATTTAATGTGGATTTGTAAGGCAGAAGTAATTTGTTTTCCTGTCTTTTAAAAAAAATAAGATGAATTTGTTTAATTTAAGAATGTAACAAGATTATTCCTCAATTTTATGTGGTGTGTGTGTGTGTGTGTGTGTGTAAAAACAGACCTTGCAAGATTTTTCTCCGCAAAATTCATGAAGAATTTTGCAGAGAAAATCATTCTTCTGTGTGAATTAGCGGCAAGCAAAGCCCGGCTCTGCAGGGGCCTTTGCTAACTCTAGTGACTATGGCCCACAGCCAAGATGGATGGGAATTGTAATCCAAAACATTTGGAGATTGAGCAAAGGGGTCCAAGGGATGCAATTAGATCAAGTCATTTATTTATCTGCTACTCTAATCCACACAACAGTCTTAGCAGATTCATTATAATCTAGACTCAGCCCTTTGTGCCCGGGACCAATAACAGAAGAAGAGGCAGAGACTGATCTTTATGTTTATCCAGGGGTCCCCAAACCCTGGAATGAGCCGGTCACTTAAGTCCGCTGACATCTGCCTCTCCTTCTGCACTTGACCAACACTGCAAATCACTGATTTGTCCAGGCAGACCTACAATTCCTGAGTGGTTCAGGAGCAGAGCTAATGCCCAAATGCCGCAATCAGTTTCTTTTGACAAAATGGTGTGGTGGTATCAGCGACCCTACTCATCGGGAATCCAGATTCACCCCATTTCTGCCACAATGAGTGTGCAGGCTTTCTACCCCCCAGCTACGCCCATGGCCAGAGCAGAGGGACAACCTCTCTATTTATCTATTTATCAAGTTTATATGACACAGACCCCCATCCCACAGAAGGTGACTCTGGGTAGCATGTAATAAAACAATATATTATAAAACCACTTTTATAAATATTATAAAATATTTTGTAAAACCACTAGCCATTTAAGCAATTATACATAAATGAAAACAAGATCACAAGAGGGCTAAAATCAGAATGTTATCTACATGGTGCGGCCAATGCGGGCAGGCTCCCTGCAGCCGGAACTGTAGGAGATGCAGATGAAAATGCATATACTGAAAAAACTGAATAACAAATGGGCTTGGCTCTCCCAGTTCAAAACCATAAAAATCCCTCCTGCAAATGCCAGAATTGGCACAGCCGGCCCTATCTGGGGCCAAGGGCTGCCCTCCAGCTGTCTGCAAAGGACTAGCAGAGTCACCCAGGGCAGATTGGGTGCACGTGGCCATCTCAGGAATCAATCGATGGATCGATCTCAGCAATCAATCGATGGATCGATCAGGCCGTTCTTGCCACCAGGCCGACTGTGGTGAAAGAAAGCCATTTCCTTTACGAGGGAGTTCCAGCTGCACCCAGCCCTTAGGAGTCCCCGGCTGCAGCCTGAATGGTTCGATCGGCCCACAGACTTTGCTGGGCAGGGGCAAGGAGGCCAAAGTGCGCAACACAGAGGCCACCTGGCACTGCATCTGCTCCTGCTACCCCTGGACTTGCTGGCAGACAAGCAGAGGCCAATAGGAAGAGAGGGGAGAGCATTTCAGATGGTAGCAGGTCACCACTGCACAGCGTCCACACCAAGAGAAGGTCTGCATGACAGCCTTTACATGTGATGCTAATCAAGAGAACACACATGGCAGCTTAGAGACTTTGCTGTGTTTCATGTAGGGAAGGAGAGACAGAGGAGGAATACAAATTTGCCCAATTCACACATCTCTGATTGGACAGTGACTGATACTCCTCTACCAATACATGCACTATATGTAAGAGAACACTGCATATCTACAGAAATGCACATGATCCAAGATAAAATCTCTCCAGAATGTATATGGGTCAATATAAAAGAAAAAAAAAGTGACATTACCATAGGTGTATATTACAGGCCACCCAACCAATCAGAAGAAATAGATGAACTCTTTACCAACCAATTAACAAATGTATGTAGAAAGCACACCACAGTAGTAATGGTAGACTTCAACTATCCAGATATCAACTGGGAGACAAACTCTGCAGCGAGTGGGAGACCAAACAGATTCCTAACCAACCTAGCCGACAACTTTGTCTCCAAAAGGTGGAGGAGGTAACTAGACGTAAAGCTATACTGGACTTAATTCTAATTAATAGAGAAGAAGTGATAGAGGGAGTTGAAGTTGCCGGAACTTTGGGCAAAAGTGACCACGTCATACTGGAATTTAATATAACGCAAACACTACTAACAGAAAACAATCCAACCAGTGTCTTGAACTTCAAAAGAGCTGACTTTAACAAATTCAGAGAGAACCCAGGAAAGATCCTATGGATGAAAATCCTAAAGGGGAAAACAACCCAAGAATCGTGGGAAACTCTGAAAAATGCAATCATAAAATCCCAGACCAGTACAGTACCACTGAAAAAGAAAAACAAGAAATTCAAGAAAAAACCAGCATGGCTGCACAAAGATTTCTCTGATAAACTGAAAGACAAAAAGGGCAAATACAAAAAAATGGAAAGCTAAGGCCAATTATCAGCAGACAGCCAGAAGATGCAAAGATGAAGTCAGGAAAGCAAAGGCTCAGAACGAACAAAGACAGAAATCGTGGATAATAAAAAAAAGTTTCTTCCAACATATTAACAACAACAAAAAAGTCAACTGTAGGTCCACTAAAGAGAGAAGAAGGAAATAACAGGCAATAGGGAGAAAGCAGAGCTGTTTAACTCATACTTTGCATCAGTCTTCACACAAAAAGAAACTATAGCCCAACATATAGCCCAACATACCAAAAAAAAACCACTGCAAAAGACAAACTAGAAACAAAAATTAAAATAAACAAGAAAATGGTAAGAGAACACCTATCCAACCTAGACGAATATAAATCACTGGGGCCTGACAGATTACATCCCAGAAGGAGCTGGCAGATGTTATCTCAGAACTGCTGTACCACATCTTTCATAAATCCTGGAGCACCAGGAAAGTACCTGAGGATTGGAAAAGGGCTGATGTGGTCTCCATCTTCATGAAAGGGAAAAAATGGACCCAGGAAACTACAGACCAATCAGTTTAACATCAATATCTGGGAAGATCCTAGAAAAGATAATCAAAAAACAGATCTGCGAACAACTAGAAACAAACAAAGTTATAACTAGTAGCCAGCACAGTTTTGTTAAAAACAAATCACACCAAACCAATCTTATTTCATTCTTCGACGAAGTGACTAAACTAATAGACCAGTGAAATTCTGTGGACGTAGTTTACTTAGACTTCAGTAAGGCATTTGATAAAGTAGACCACAACCTACTCTTTGGTAAGCTAGAAAAAAGTGGAATAGACAACATCACCACCAGATAGATCTGTAGCTGGCTGGCAAACCATACTCAACAAGTAGTCCTCAACAGCACTATATCCACATGGAGAGAAGTAAGCAGTGGGGTACCACAAGATTCCGTTTTAGGCCCAGTACTCTTCAATATCTTCATCAATGACTTAGACGAGGGAATTGAAGGGGAACTCATCAAACTTACAAATGACATCAAACTGGCAGGAGTAGCCAACACTCCAGAAGACAAACTCAGGATCCAAAAAGTTCTTGACAGACTTGAACAATGGGTCCTATCCAACAAAATGAATTTTAATGTGGAGAAAAGCAAAGTTTTACATTTAGGCAAGAAAAATCAAAGGTATAAGTACAGATTAGGTGAGACTGGCTCAAAAACAGTAACTATGAGAGGGACCTTTGAGTCCTAGTGGATGATCATTTAATCATGAGCCAGCAGTGTGCAGCAGTAGCCAAAAAAGCTAATATAATCCTGGGTTGTATAAACAGAGGCATAGAATCAAGATCACATGAGGTATTAGTACCGCTTTATAAAGCCCTTAGTAAGACCACACCTCGAATACTGCAGCCAATTTTGGTCACCATATCACAAAAAAGATGTTGAGAGTTTGGAAAAAAATCAGAGAAGAGCAACTAAAATGATCGAAGGCCTGGAGACTAAAACATACGAAGAACGGCTGCAGGACTTGGGTTTGGCTAGTCTAAAGAAAAGAAGAAACAGGGGAGACATGATAGCAGTATTCCAGTATTTGAAGGGCTGCCCCAAAGAAGGGGGGGTCACGTTATTCTCCAGAGCACCAGAGGGCAGGACAAGAAACAATGGTTGGAAACTGACCAAAGAGAGAAGCAACCTGGAATTAAGGAGAAAGTTCCTAACAGTGAGGACAATTAACCAGTGGAACAGCTTGCCTCCAGAAATTGTGGGCGCTCCATCACTGAAGGTTTTTAAGAAGAGACTAGACAATCACCTGTCTGAGATGGTATAGGTCAGTGATGGCGAACCTTTTAGAGACCGAGTGCCCAAACTGCAACCCAAAACCCACTTATGCATCGTTGGGTGCAAGGTGGGTGTGGCCCATTGGCTGGGTGTGGCCAATTGGGTGGGCATGGCTTCGGTGGTAACAGCAGACTGACTGGGACTAAAAAGTTCAATCAATCAATTCCAAGTTTGTAAAATCTTTTTTTTTCCTGCGAGAAGTTGAAAATGACTGATTGATTGAACCTTTTTTTTTTTTTTGCACACGGCAGCGGAGGCCTAAAGCAAAAAGGTTTTATAAAACCCAGCTGAAGGCCTAGGACTGGGGCGACAGCGCCCGTGCCCACAGAGAGGGCTCTGAGTGCCGCCTCTGGCACCCGTGCCATAGGTTCGCCACTACTGGTATAGGTTCTCCTGCTTGAGCAAGGGGTTGAGCTAGAAGACCTCCAAGGTCCCTTCCAGCTCTACTCTATTCAATACTCCACCCATAATCAACCGTGTCTTTCCCCAGATCATAACTGGCCTGGTTTGCATCCATCCAGGGTGCCATGAGAATAGGAACCGGTCAA